AATTATTTTCAAACTTTTTCTGAATGGTGACCTCAACTAATCTCGAATGTTCATAGAGCCCAGAACAGGAATCCGTTTTTGTTTCAGTCCTTTCACCTTTAGAGAGAGAGAAAAAAAATAACGAAAACAGCTGGTAATTGCCGTGTGCGTTTTTCTAGAGAGCGCTAAGTTTGTCAGTCACACTGGGCGTCTGCAGGTGTCTCAGCTGTAGTTGAGAAATTTAGCCAGTTTTTGTTTATATATATATATATATATATATGTATGTATGTATTAGGGGTGTGCGAATATTCGTCATTTTCAAATAACGAATCGAATATCACCCTGTTCAATTCGTTCATCGAATCGAATAATAATTTTCAAAAGTTTCGAATATTTTTCGAAAAATTTCCGAATAGTCTTTACAGTGTCGCGCAGCGAGATTCCCTTCACAGGTGTCCCACAACGCTCCGGCACGCCTGCCATACGTGCCCGCAAGATGGCAATGATTACCATCATCGGCAGCAGCGGTTTCTTTCTATAGGTACGTTGCTGTTGCCTCCACTAGGGACCACTGCGTTAAGCATAACCCGCATGAAAGCGATTCGACAAGAGACAAGAGAGGCGACGTCGAACCGCTTCGCTGTCGCTCGGTCAGTCGCGCGATGAGGCAAGCCGCATATGGAAGTGGCGTGAGCAAGCGACAATTGCGATGATGACGTTTTCTAGAAATCCAAACACCGAGCGACGCGACGAGCGACAGTGAGAAATCTCCATCACTCGCTGCTGACTCTCGTCGCTGTCGCTCGTCTCGGCTCTCGCTAAATCGCTTACATGCGGTTCAGCCTTTAGGGACCTCTTTCGCACGAGAATGCTCGTGCACGCTTTCGGAAAGCGTGTCGTCGAAACGTTTCAGAACTGGTTGCAACGGTACCGCCACTCTGTGTGAGCAAAGTAGAAGTGGCAGAAGCCACTTCTACTTCGCTGTTTGAAGAAAAAGCGCAGTAGAATATGGAAGTTTTTCGGCCGCTCCCATGCAACCAAATGAAGAAGCCACAACAGCTCCTTGTGTCAAGTCTTTCCCAACACTTTCCATGGTTGTTCCACTTGTTCAGTGCGTGAAAATGTTGCTTTTTGAGGGCGCAAGTGAAACACGACATAACGTTTTCCCACAATCTTCTCAGATCAGTGAAAACAAGGTTCCTAGACGTAAGTACACAGACACATCACGCCCTTGCCACCTTTCTTGATCCTTGATTCAAAGACATCTGCTACAACAAGGAATAAATAGAGAATGTAGAGTTCGTACTAAGTACATTGCTTCAGGATGTACCAGGCTCAAGTGAACTCTGATTTTATGTTTACCATCTGAATGAACCGTGATATTATGTTTAGCATTCTAATATGTTAGTAGCTTCTGACTTTATTTAATTATATATCGTTGAACTTTACTCATTATCGGCTAGTAGCGTTGTTACAATAATTTTAAGAAACATTTTGGAACAAAAAAAAATAATTTTATAATCTCTTGGCTCTTGTTTAGTAGCTGTCTACCTATTATTCGAAAACTATTCGAAAATTATTCGATTTGTATTCGTATTCGATTCGATGCCACAATTATTCGATTCTTATTCGATTCGGTTTTAAAAATCACTATTCGCACACCCCTAATATATATATATATATATATATATATATATATATACGACTGCTATTTAGGGGTCTTCAACGTGCCTCACGCTACAACCGCACACCGATGTATACGATGCCCATCAACATCGAAATGGGCAGGGGTGGGGATTGAAGCCGCGATCTCTGCAGCTTCCTGCAGTGTCATGGGCTCTCACTCCGAGGTGCTCGGAGCCAGTGTGCGCAAACAGCCACCAACTCCCGCCAATATATAAGTTCGCGATTCTCAGAAAAATGACAGAAAGTTGCTGGAGATTGTTTGGTTACATTCAAAGAGTTCATCGTATATATACACGTCGATATCAAAACTGGACGGAATCGTGTGCATGCAGCAAAGCATTGGCGAGGAAAACCGGATCGGTCGCTCAACAGGTGCGTGTTCATTCTTCGGCCTTAGAATCGTCCGAAGCGCCTGGCGCGTTCACGGAACACTTAACGTCTTAACACGAGTATAAGGAGTATTCACTGGGCGCCATATTTATGGGTGATGTCTAGAGCGCATGCTCTGAACGAGCCCACGTTAATAGGCTGCTAAGACCGGCAATCTTAAGGGTGCGAAATGCACCTTACAAAAGAACTGTGGAAGCTCGCCACCAGCACGCGCTCAGCAGTCGTGCACACAGCTATGGCCGCCAGGGAATGCTTCCATGTCAAAAGTTGGCCTCTCAGTCAGACAGCTATCTTACAAAGGATGCTGCACATATGTTTGCTTCGGACATATATGTGTGCCTCGAACATGTCTGCGGGCAGTTTTCCCATTACAAATGTGACCGGACCGCCACACGCCTCAGACAGTAGAGAGAGTTTTAGGGAACCGTTTTTACACATCCGAAACGGTATACGACGGGCCCTCCGGTACGATCTGCGCATGCGTTACCGCAGAGACGGTTCCCCTAAAACTCTCTATACTGTCTGCAGACTCTCTTTTGTGTCACTTTGTGACCTTGTGACTGCGACTTTGGAGTTTCCGCTCTCCCTTGGCCGATCTTGATGTATGTATGGGTGCCGCCATTTTGGCGCTTAGTGCGGAGCACGTGCAATCGGTGATCGTTTGCGATTCGAGAATGCCAAGTTTCTGAGCTTTCGGTACGGTGTCAGGAAGCTACTAGAGAATAGCGAGTTTTAGTAGACCGTGTTTCCCCCTCCGCTAAGCCCCTCCGCCACCCGGAACTCTACAGCCAAGGCCATCGGCACGCAGGCGCAGTGGCGGTTTCTTCGTAGCGGAGGGTAGCGGAGGGGGAAACACGGACTGCTAAAACTCGCTAGTTTTAGGGAACCGTTTTGGCGCATCCGATACGGTACGATGGGCCCTCCGGTACAAACTGCGCATGCGCTAACACAGAAGAATCGCACACGCGCAGTTCGTACCGGAAAGTCCACCGTACCTTACCGGATGTGCCAAAAACGGTTCCCTAAAACTCTTTAATAGGGAGTTTTAGTAGATCGTTCCCATGACTCCGATAACGATACCCGATACTCCGCCACCGCCTCCCTTGTGCATGCATAGTATCGTTATCGGGGCTATCGGAGGTATCGGAACGATCTACTAAAACTCTCTAATATTCGTTTCGCTCCGTTGCGGACTATTGTAAAGGCCTGTAACGAAATCCTAGCGCCTATTTCATTGTCGAAACGTCAACCACGTTCTCCCCACACTACAGGGACAGAAATGTTTGGCTCCGAAATCGGCCGTTTAGAACGAAAAATAGAACCGTCCGCTCAAAATACAAACGTGCGATTGTCATTAGCACGCAGATTTGTTTACCTTGTTTAAACCGGATTTGTGGACGTTGGAGGTATGTTTCGATTTTCAATTCAGCATTCATCTAACATTCTTGGAGATCGGAAAAGCGTTTTCCGCGATTTCAGATGAATTAAGCTGTGGACAATCTTCGGTGGCTATGCGTGCACGCAGTTGAAGGTACAGGAACTTCCCTCTCGTCGGAAAGGGCACAGAAAGTTGTCCACGAGTATATGGCAACAATCATCTTAGGCACCAAGAAGGCTGAAGTGCCGCTACTCTGAAGCGTGTAGCTTGCTAAGTGGCCGTTTCCCGCTTTGCCGGGAGACGGGATTCTTCCACGCAGGATCGCCCTGTCGGCGGCCGGACGAGGCCACGGAATCGAACGGCGGCATGAATAGGCGACAAATTGCGGCGGTTGCGCGCCGGGCAAGTGCCTACGTGCGTGTGGACGGGGACGGGAATGCCATTTTAAGAAAAAGAGTGTTTTTCTCTCTCTTTTTCGGGGGGTCCCCATTGTCCGGGCGGTGTTGTCCCGATCTTCAAAGCGACACCGACGCCTAATTGGGCGCCCCGGGCACGAGAGGAAATTGCAACGTGGAAAAGAAGACCGAAGGGACGACACGAGGGAGTCGCAGCAGGGGGGCGGCCTCGCGCACGCCCGGCGGACATGTGTCGAGATAAACGATAACTTTGTCGGCACCTCGGCGTGGTCGCTTTTGTGCACGCCGATGTCCTCGACTGACTCGCGCCGCGCCGACTCGTCACCCCGTCCGCGACAGCAAAGACCGCGTGTTTGCACACAACGGCACGACACTCGGAGACACACGATGCCGCGGTGGTCTTCAGCGGCGGCGCAATACGCGGTCTCCGACGTCGGTGCTGCACTCGGCGAGCGCGCGAGCAGTATACCGTTCCAACCAAGCACGTAGCCAGGTTTTTGTTTCGGAGGGGGGGGGGGGGGGGTGGAAGAAGACCCGCCCATGACAAAATGCTGTATGAGGGGGAAGGGGGAGAGGAAATCCCAGCAAAATGGAAGATTTCGGGGGGGGGCCGGGCCACATGCCCCCCCCTGGCTACGTGCCTGGTTCCAACCATGCCCGCGCGGTAGCCATCCGCTAAGACGCTCTTACATAGAGAGCTCCAAGTGCTGCATAGTATCGCAGTGTTACAAGAGAACACGTTGCTTGGTCTTGCGTCTTCCTATTGACACGCGGTTGCAAAACTGTAGCTTTGACAGAGCACTGCGTAAGCTACGCTAGGTGCAGCCGACGTACTGTAAAAATAGTTGACACCGTTGTATACACCATTTCAATGTTTACAAATCAACAGCCCAGAGTACGACCCTCAAAGCCCAGCACGCGCGCAGAAGCCCGTTTCTCGTATGGTCCATACATATGGCCTGCACTAACGTCATATATGGATTGCTATTATGCTGGCCTTGCAGCTGAGCACGAATCTTCAGCATCGTGCATTTGATCCAATCGAATTTGTTTTTCTCGGCAAGGACAAGTGAGAGTGACCGTTATAGGGCGACCCGACGGCGTCGGGCAAGTCAGGGACAGGTCGCGGTTTCGGGTCAGGGGACACTCACCCGGGTTGGGCTGCAGCTGGTACGAGGGCTTGAGCATCCACTCGAAAGGAGACCTGGCCGGGGCGGGCCTCACCTGAGGCACAGCGCCCCCCTGTAGCCCCGGGGAAGGGGTGCCGCTCAGGTCGGATGCCGCCAGGCCACTGTCCGGACTTGTGGCCAGCTCGCCACCGTAGCCTCCCGACGAGTACACCGGGCCCTGGATGCGACAAAAAAATAAGAAATAATTGTGCTGCCTGTTTGTTTAGTCAGTGAGAAGTTAGTCAATCCGAATGGGCGTCTGGGATCTTTGACTCGCATCGCGCAGTATGTTATACACTACCGCACGCCGGTACGATGCTCATCCAAGTCGAAACGAGCAGCGGTGAAGCTGATTAAGTGGTGCTTGTTTAGACAACGGACAACTTAGCCCCAACGGGCATCTGCAGGGGGGCTTGATAGAAGCAACGACTTAGCCAGGCACGTAGCCAGGGGGGGGGGGGGGGGGGGCATTGGCCCGGCCTTCCCCCCCCCCCCCCCCCGAAATCCTCCATTTTGCGTGCACCTCCTATCCCCTCTCCCCCTCATACAGCATTTTGACATGGGCGGGCACCCCCCGAAACGAAATCCTGGCTGGGTGCCTGGACTTAACTAAGACCTTGTGAAGTAAAGCGTGCCAAGCCTGGGGCTCGCGAGGGCTTGAGACTCGACTTCATGAGCTACACCACTCGTGTGCTGGCTTTAGCAGTACTTTCTTTCATAAAGTCTTGCCCGAGATATTTTGTTATTGGCGAGCCTCCTTTTGTGACTCCTCCGTAGATAATAAACTTAGCCAGTGAAGTACCACTGCTAGCCTGGCTCTTTAACGTGCATCGCGCAGGAGCGATTACAGGGACACACGCCGGTACGATGCTCATCGAGATCGAAACGGACAGGTGTGGGGATTGAAGCCCAAGTTGCCGGGTTTCTGCAACACGAGGTTTGGCGCTCCACGTGCTACGAGCTGCTGTGCATTGACACGCTGAAACATCGATCCCTCTGTGGGTCGGGGTCCGTCACCGGGCAGTGGGACAACGGGCAAGAGGTCAGGAGTGGATGAACGCGGAGACTCACGGCGAACGGCTGTGCGGCCGGCTGCACGGCGGTCCAGTCATCGTAACGGTAGGCCGTCCAGCAGCCCGGGTCGGTCGCCGCCTGGGGCTCGTTGATGCCCGCGAATGTGGCGGCCGCGTAGTGCGGGGGCGAGCAGTTGGAGGACGCCGGCGGCGACGGGTAGCACGCGTACTGGAAGGACAGCTCCTGGACGCCATTCCTGGCCGGAAACATGCCGCACTCCTGAGGGTAGCCCACTCCTGAGGCCACCGCGGCGGCAGCGCTGATGCGGCCGCTCGGGACGACGTCGATTGGCGCGGCGGCGCCCCGCCTCGGAACCGCCCCGAGGTCGTCCCGCTGGGACGGTGGCTGGGCGACCCGTCGGACGGGGGAGGCGCTCTGCCCGCACCCCTACCCGCTTTTATGGGGGATGCGCCGCTGGGACCGTATCCCGCAACCGGGCGGCTCGCGGTAGCGCGCCCTTCTTCTTACCGCAAGTCCCGCGCGGTGGGGGCTTCGCTCCCCGCATCTTTCCGATGGGCCCCGAGATGGATGGGGTCGAAGAGTGCAGGCAGCGAGGCACTCGGAACGACACAGTGACGTGTCGTTAGAAATGTGGCAACGAGGCGAAGTTGCCACAATTTTGAGTTAAATTTCGCTCCGGTCTGTCGCAATGGCAGATGTTAAAAGAAAAAAAAAAAAAAAAAAAAAAAAACAATTGGGGGGGGGGGGGGGGGGCGAAAAAAGAGATGGCAAATTTTCCGATAAAATTTACCGACATGGACTTGACAATACTCCAGTCAACTCCCAAGTTCATCAATGGTCCGGCGGCGGTTATCGAAGATGACTCGACGAATTTTTGCTAGTCTCTCTTCAGTTGGGCGGGTCGAAGAATGTTGGGAGCGATGTTGATCGTCAAATAGCTCTTTATCGAACCAAAATAACTCCCCGAGAAAAAAAGAAATATAAGCGAGCAAGAATAAAAAAGAAGTACAAAAACAAGCTCGAGAAAACGGAAAGAAAAAAAGCAAGAGAATGAGGAGGGCAATCTTATTTAATTTAATAACAACCGTTGACCAGGCTTCTTCTGTCGCTGAGGTCTAACTCGATATACATTTTTCTCTTCTAATTGACCTCTGAAAAAAACAAAAAAAGAAATCGTAATATCTTTTTATTGGTTACATTTACTTTATTCATTGAGATTAAATTGGCTTTAAGTCTGCACTGCTAACGCAAGAGCGGACAGGAATAACGTTATGTTTTAATCTTTTCCTTAAGCACCTCAACTTAAAATCTGTTTGAAACGGGAAATCCAATCAAAACTCGCGTTTTACTCAGATTATCTTCCTCGTAAGGCGTCTGTAGCGTAACAACCGTTTCCGTCGGATTGTTCTTCAACAGGAAACAGAGCCGCGTGATGTTCGTATAAAATTAAATCGTGCCATCACGAAGATTGGTGATCACCTGAGTGAGTAAACAATCTACTTTAAAGGGATGGTGAACCGAAATTTGGATTTCAGAAAAACAATGCAGGAGATGTAGGCGGAACGCTACAATTCCTACAACACTACTCGTAAGGCGGTATCTCGAATGGAAAGCCGTATTTTTGGAAAAAGAGGTCGAGATTGAACCAGGCCGACCAGGCGCGTGACGTCAAGATATCCTCGTTTCCTCCTCTCTTCACTTCGCCCCCTCCAGGCGACGAGGCGGAGAAGACGCGAGGCCGTTCTCTCTCCTCCTCGGAGAAACATGACGTAAACATATCTGTCAAACGCGCCTCCTTTTCTTGAAAAATACGGTCATCCGTTCGAGATATCGCTGTATGAGTGATGTTTTGGTGTTTGTAGCATCCCGTTGTACGCTTTTGCCGCGTGTTTTGTGGAATCCAGATTTCGGTTCAGCGTTTCAACGGAACGCCGATTGCTCCACCGATGCAGATGGGTCCGCAGAAAACGCACCCAGCGGGAAAAACGTGTACTACAAAAAGCCCGCACTCCAAAAAAATAATTCCGGTTACTCTTGGGTGAACACCTCGTACGCACCAGGTGCACTAAAAAAAAAAAAAACTGTTTTTTCCAGTCAAATTGTGCACCTGTACGCCGGGTGCGGTGTATCCGGAAATATCGGTATACTTTTGTACGCACTATACCTGCCGCATTTGCAAAGGTATTACAGGAAAACACTATGAAATGACACAGAAAGCAAAAATGGAGATACACCACAACAACAACAACAACAACAACAACTACTACTACTACCACTAATATTAATAATAATAGTAATACTCTTTTATTCACACGACATTTGCGCTATATCAAATGACGGGTTCGTTAAAGCTTTTAATGGCTTGTATGACTGAACCCATATCAGCATAGGCGAAAAAGGAACAACAGAGAAAAACTAACACGTTAACGCAAGCTTTGGCTTGCCAGCCTCTCTCTCTCCCCTCCCCCTCATCCATTTTTCACACAAATACACGCAAAAAGAAAACAGTCTTCAAGATCATGACGACGAAGCCACTTCTTTAACTGTCCTTTGCTAGTAATGCTATAAAGCTCTTCAGAAAAAACATCGAATACCTCCGAAAAAAAAAAACTTTATTCGCACTTTGGAGCAAAAAAAAAAAAAAAAGACCCACAAAGAATAACTTTAAAGTTCTCACGCATCGGGGCGTGCCACGTGCAAAAGAAAATAAGTAAAATAAATACCCTTACAGTGCTCGTTATACTCTCGTCAACGACAGACTGAGAAAGGTGGACCGTCTCTTTCTGACCTCCATGGAGGTCAGAAAGAGACGCTCCACCTTTCTCAGTCTTCGTGTAGGAATGCGCTGCATGTAGGAATGCTTTCGCATTTCTACAAGACGGGCATGCACGTGCTGCAGCACGTGCATGCCCGCCGCCTTCCACTGAGCTTGGGTTGCGCGTGCAAGAAGCCTGTAAGTGTTATTGGAGGAAGCTCGCGCTGGGGGTGTGAGATTGCCGAAAGGTGTTCTCCTCCAGCGACTATACGCCGAGCAAGTGAGGGAGAGGAGGAGAGGGTACGTCAGAACGCCGAGCTCTGGTTGGTACGAATAGGGGGTAGACCTAAAGCTATATCTGCCTTTGTCTCCACTGCACTCGTCGAAGGCGTATAGAACGCAGAACGCCGCGGCGTCGGGCGTTTAGCACTCGCATTCGAACGCCCTCGGCGAGTGCACGCGAATACAGCGGCAGCCAGCTTTACCGTTTCAACATGACCAACCAACTAGAGCACCTAGGGTGCCTCAATGTCCTTCTGTTTAGGGTGGTGCCACCCTTTGTAGTACCAGATGCCGGCAGCACGCGCTCACGGGCAAAATAGAAAGAAATCGACGAAAACAAAATGTCGCCATAGCACAGTCGGCGCCACAAGCGCGTGCAGGGACACGCTCTTTCACGCGCTTCTCAACAAAAAATAAAAATAAACGTGTGTGACAAAATGGCGAGATGCCACCACCCTAAGCAAAGCGCGCATGAAGGCACCCTAAGAGCACCTACATACCCACCTTGTTGCTTGTCTTTTTTAGGGGGTATGGCTGGCGGTTTCACGTGACATGCCTCCGGGAAATCTGGCCGGACGCCTTGTTGCTGAATTTTCGCTCTATGTCTTTCTATGGTCGGAGGCAATGTTTTCCAGCTCGCTTGAGTTCTTCAGCGTCGTGATGGACTGCGCCTGGCAGAGTAGTCGGGAACATTAAAGAGCATCGGCTGGCACTGTATTTTAATGCGAAAGCATTAACTGTTCCATAGAGCGAAGCCGGCTCTGTCTGTAACCGTTCGTAGCAGAAAAACGGCATCTAAGCTTCCATTCCCAATAAAACACAAAGAAAAGCACAGCAACGCAGATGTTTTGTTACGAAAGCCGTTGTGAAGCCGGCGAAGTTCGCCGCGCTTGCGCAGTGGCGGAGCGTGATGTCACCGCCGCAGCGCCGTGTAAAAAGGAAGACGTGGCGCGCTACTTGTAGGAGTGCGCTGTGTGTAGGAATGCTTTCACATTCCTACACGTAAGCAGTCTTAAGTGTCTCTGCCGAATTTTTTTTATAAATAACGGTCTTTGTTTGGATTTAAGACGAGCCGACGATTAAGGAGTCGACCTGTCGGTGGCCAAATTGGCCTCAGCATAAATACCGCCAAATCGACCCAGAAAAATAAAAAAAAAAGTCCCAAATACGTTTTCGATCGTGTCCTACATTGAGTTCTGTGGTAGTCGGAGCCACTCACCATGCTTCTGCGTCCAACCAATACCAAAAGCGACGCTAATACCTAATCCTACGCGTGCCAAGAAATGGGGAAAGTGGCAGACACGGTTCATCAACATGGCGGAAAGCGGCTTACCCGAAGTGAAAAGGCGTTTCGTGAAACCACCCACAGCAACTCGACACTCTGACGTCACACTATAGCGGTGGCGCTGCTGTCGAGCCCTGCGCATGCGCAGAAACTTCACTTCTCTCGGATCTGGTGTCTGCGCACGCAATGTTACTACTACACATGGTGCGGACAAACGTAGACTCGTTTGCAAAGTGCTCCGCGTCAAAAGAGGAGAGCCCAGTGCTGGGCGACTGAGGAGCTCGCGTCCAGCCAAGTCTGACGAAGCCGACGAGGCGTCGTGGTCAGCATCGCCACGGACGTCGCGTTGCCGGCTACCTGAAACAGGGACGTGGCTGCGCTATTGTTTTTGAGCGCTTTTTTTTAGCGGGCACCACCCGCTGACACTTCCGTGTTCTGCCCCATCCCCACGGAGTCGTCCCAGTTGGCTGCCTTTCCCGCACTGCTTCAGAGCGCGCGGAGAAGCGGCGGCGCAGGCGACAGTCTCCTCTCGGTGGTCCGGCGGTGGCTGGTCCGTACTCCTACTGAAATGAGTGAAGAGGAACGCATAAGAGGCGTTACCGGATCTATTCAAGTATTTCATTTTGGCACGCTAGACTTGAAATGTGCGACTCTTCGTAAGTGAAAGTGCGCCGCACGTGACGTGTTCGTCAGGGCGACGTTCAGAACGCACCATATCCCTCTTTTGATTGCAGCCGTTCGTTGTGGCGACCGTGGCGCGGCCACGACAGAGTGGGTGATAATAAATGCGGATTCGGCTCCGTGGGAGTTTTGACCCAAACCCCGAACACGCACCCCAGATTCGCAGTTGCACCTCATGTTTCAGAACATTCTTCTCGTCAATGTCACCTCTCCTGGCTCAGTAAACGCACTCAACACCTTGAAACTCCCCTTTTCCGCCAATCTCTT